TGTGAGCGAGATTGACAAAAGAATCAGGTCCACAATGGATATACCGGAAGAGGGGCATTTGGCTTTCCTAGATGTGGAGATCATTCGCCCTACTAGGACACTCAAGAGGAAATTATTCAGAACGAAGCCATATGCCAGAAAAGTATTCAATTTCGACCCTGATCACAACTACCGAATGAAGATAGGAATACTGAGGAGCATGATCATCAGAAGCGTACGCTTGACAGACGTGGAATTCTAGGATAAAGAATTGGAAAAATTGACTCGAATATTCCTCGATAACGGATACCCAAGAAAAGTAATACAAAGAAACATACTGGCCGTAAAGAGACGATGACAGGAAAGGGACTATGAAATAAAGAAAGAAATGGATAACGACTCATAAAAGTGAATATTCTTACCTTGCTGCGAACTAGATCAAAAACTACGTCCACTGTTAAGAAAATGGAATACTCAGGTGACCATGAAGGAAAAAACAACATTCATTACAAGTCTACACACGCAACATGAGAGGGTATACAAATTGGATTGCTCGGGAGCTAACTGAATAGCATACGGCGCCTGCTAACATAAATATATTGGCGAAACTGGGAGAAAAATTCGCATACAAATAAAAGAACATCAAAAGCTCTGTAGTAAAATGGATACTGAAAGATCAGATATAACGGATCACATCGCAGAGACTGGACGCCTGGATCAAGGATCTATCGTAAACCAGAGGAAAAGAGATCGAAAGGAAGAAGAGTGAGAAAGTTTCGGAGATAAAGCAAAGACGTTCTCAGTTAGGATAGTCAGCTCGATTAAATAACTACAACTTTGGGGGTCTGACGTTTCACGTAACTAGGGTGAGGGATTGGGAAACAGAAATGGGATATTATGACTACATTGACCAATAATCCACTCAAAAGGTAACATACGACCAGAGATAGATGTTCACCGTTTGTTCGGGACACGGGTTTAATCAGGTCATGCGTGAAAGCAATGCTTAATAACCGTAATCATGGGAATCAGAGCCTAGGCGCTCTGCAGATGAGGCGGCATTGTACGTGCTACTAAGGCCGTGAGAAATAGCGCCTGGAGTAAAAAGTACAATGGGACTGGAACTGAGTTAAATCGGTTATTCAGAAATATAAGAAACGGATCCAAGAATCCATGAGGCAGATCAGGAAAGGAGGCCCGAGTTGGAGCAGCCACACAAAAGGGAGGGGAGCAAGGCAAACAGCAAGTGTGATGACACCACGGTAAATTCGCCAAAAGGGCACACCTCTAGTGGAATATAAACATGCCAGAAATTGTGATAGGAAGAGGGCGAGACAAGAGTGTAGGAAATGAATAGAAGGTCCAGGAAAGAAAGAGGAGTGATAAAACAACCGTTTCGACATAAACTTGGTCAAGAGATCGACTTCACTTGTCTATTTGATGAGTTAGGGTTTGGTGCTGATAATTGCAAGGCTCATTGACGATGCCAGCGAACGTCTGGGAGTGTACCAAGTCAATGATCTGACTAAGGAGATTATCAAGCATACTATGTACTCGTGACAAGATGCGTTCCTCTCAACCTTCCTGCCTATATGGCCAAGTAACGAAAACAAGGTCAAATGACTATTATGCATCGAAAGGAGACTGCGACCAAAATGGAGGCCACAACATCTTGGCCTTCGTTGCTAAGCCTCGTATTAGTTGGCTTCAGTGTAGGATATACAAATTCATATGCGTGAATTCACAATAGACAGAAGCCTATCCATTTAAGAGGCTTCGTTAAAAAAATCGGTAGTTCTATGACTCTGAGGAAAATGTCCTAATAAAACCATGATCAGAAGTACCAAGCCGCAATTAGCGAAATACCTTTGCAATTTCTAAGAATTCCTTGTCAGTAATGCGCATATCAGCAATCGGATCCAGTTGCGGTAGCTGACCACCCACTCGAGCTTGCACCTTCTCGATGTTTCCCAAGAGTCCGTTGCGCACATCCCGACTGCGCAGGTCACTTGGCACAAGAAGGCGGACAGCCGATATGCCAATCACACAATTTAGTCGTACGGTGAGAACCTCAGCATCAGGACAGGTCGGATCACTCTCGGTGACAGGATCGGAACTAGTCTGTGCCTTCTGCAAGATCGTTAGAAATGAAAAAATAAATATTTTGCAGTTAA